AAAAAACTTTGCCAGTCATTAAAAAGTATGCCCACAAATTATGGCAGGAGAAATATTTTAAATGAACAATGATCGATTTCAATCATCTCAACTGTGAGGAAAAAAATGCAGATGGGAAAAAGACTGGAAAGATATTTCCAGACAGGTGAAATTATCGATTTTTCTTAGCTCCTGAATTATTTCTGCTTGAATTATACCTTCACAGTAATTAAAAAATAATTTAGAGTGCTTACTGTGTTCAAAGCACAATACTAAGTGATTCCATACATTTTATAATTGAATCCTCACAATTAAATTCCCATTTTCTCAGATGAGCCATCTGAAATTCAGAAAGGTCCCCAGAATTACATCCAGTAAGCAGTAGACAGAACAAGTATTCAAAGACCCATGTCTCATGGAGAAAATGAAACTCTCAAATATTAGGGTAAGAATGTAAAATGGTACAGGTGCTTTGGAAAAGTTTGTCAGTTCCTCAAAATGTTGACCATAGTTAACTATATGTATGACCCAGCAATTCCACTTACAACAAAATACCCAAGAGAAATGAGAACATATGTCCACAGAAACTTGTCCAGGAACTTTTCATACTGGCATTATTCAAAAGGTTGACACAATCCAAATGTCCATCAACTGCTGAATGTATGAACAAAATGTGATATATCCATACAATGAAAGTAGTTGTTGTTGTTGTTGTTACGTGCCGTCGAGTCGGCCCCGACTCATAGCGACCCCTCCTTGGGTTTCCGAGGCAGTATCACTACGGAAGTAGGACTGCCCAACCTTCCTTCCGAGGAGTGTCTGGTGGGTTTGAACCGCCAGCCGTCTGGTTAGCAGGCAAGTGTGTTAGCCACTATGCTACCAGAGCTCCCTACAATGAAAGTATGTGGCCATTAAAAAGAATGCAGTACTGATATATGCTGTAATATGGCTGAACATTATGCTTAGTTAAAGAAGTCAAACATAAAAGGTCACATAATATTTTGTGAAATATGCAAAAAAGGTAAATCCAGAGACAGAAAGCAGATTGGTGGCTGCCAGATGCTGGGGAAAGAGGGAATGGGAAGTGAATGCTAATGGTAGTTTCTTTTCGGAGTAATGAAAATGCTCTGAAATTAGGCAGTGGTGGGTAAATGACTTTGTGGAATATAGTAAAAACTACTGTATTGTAGGGAGCTCTGGTAGCATAGTGGCTAAGATACTTGCCTGCTAACCAGACTGCTGGCGGTTCAAACCCACCAGCCACTCCTCGGAAGGAAGGTTGGGCAATCCTACTTCCGTAGTGATACTGCCTCGGAAACCCAAGGAGGGGTCGCTATGAGTTGGGGTGACTCGACGGCACATAACAACAACAACAACAACTGTATTGTAAGGGGTAAATTTTATATGTGAATTAAATCTCAATTCAAAAACCCAAAACTGAAAAATACCTAGGTCTGAGTCCAGTGCTAGAGAGCTCTAAAGCAGCATTTATATATTACCATCCTCATCTTTTGGCTTTTCTAACAGACACAATGTATCTTAATATTCTAATTTCTCAGAGATTAGACCACACAAACTAAAACTGAGGCTATAAGGGAAAATCATGAGTTTAGATTTTTGCTTCTACTCAACAAATCAAGAATACCTGCACTTTGGTCTGTGTTAATTAACAGCATGTTATCAAAGTCTCTGCTAGCCATGCCTTGTAACAATGTAAGAGAGTGTTATCTTCTAAGGATGGCTCCATCTTTCAACTTCTAGTAGCACAAAACTGAAGATTTTTGCCTTTTTTCTTGGATCACATATTTGTACAAGCTAATCAGAAGGACCTTTTTATATTAAGGGGTAACAATCTTTTCAACTCATGTTTAATGACATCAGAAAATGTGTATACTATGCTGGAGGAACAAAAAAATATCTTCAAAGGCAGAGTAAATATGGAAAATATTAATAATGATGGGAGAGTGGAATTACAGGTAATTATCACTTTTTCCTAAATCAAGAATTAAGTTTGTTTTCTACATTTAACAAAAAGAGCATTTTTCAAATCAGGATAAAACAACAAAAAATTACATAATAAACAGACCTACAAACTATGCTATAGAAAAAGTATGAAATACCACTCTAGACTGAACCCTGCTTAAAACACCAGTAACATTTAAAAAAACTGGCAAAGAATCCTTCCTCCTCAACATCTCTGGTCTCCAAAAACCCAGTCACATACATGGCAATACACACCTATACTGACATGAGCAGATTACCCAAGAGGCAAAGTAAGCAAAGGCTTATTTACTAATCTATAGTGAACAGTTTCATTATGTGATAGAAAACATGTGAAACCATTCACTACAGATTTGTAAGTAAGCCCGTGTTTACCTTGCTTACCCGACACTGTATACTCATGAGCAAACGTTTGGAATGCAACGCTCTTCCAACTTCTCAACAGGCAAGCTGAAAGCATAGGCAAGTTCAAAGCAAAGAGTCTGGAACTAACAATTTCAATACACAAATCAGTGTTTTGGGATATAAACAAAATTTGAGGATTTATTTACCAAAATTACACTTAATCATGGATCAAGATACACAGAGCTTAGACTTCAGAATGGGACACTGTGGAAGTTGCTGATTTCTAACTGGAGCAGAAGTTGACTGCTAACTAGGGCTACATTAAAAACTAAGGTAGAAACTGGTTACTCTAGAATCTAAACTCAGTAATACTCACATGAGTAATTTCCCCCTTATAAATAACAACTATCAATCAATAGTTTAGATGACATTAAATTTTAAACACTGTTGGCTTTTCATTTTTAATTACAGTTAACCAACAACTAACTTCAATGCCATTTTAAAATTACTTAAACTTTTCAAAAAGCAGATGATATGAATAAAATTTAAAACTTCTCCATAATCATTTGGCAAATCAGACACATTAGCTACCTGCTGTCTTTCAATACACTATAAAAGAGTATCAAAAAGACACTGACTCAATACAGCACAAATTTTATCTAAGCCTCATAATGGAAAAAGGACACATACCTGGCAAAGAACATTCATGTTAAATGGAAAAAATAATCGTTGACTGGTAATTCTAATACGTATGAAAGCTAACCTTCTGACTCAAAGTGTTTTTAATGAAGAACACCTGATTCTCTCCAAATTAAAGTGCAAAACAAAGAGCAAATATTGAGTAATAACACATTTGACACAGTATGAATAATCCCAAAACATGACTTCTACTCCCTGCACAAATGTAGAAATTAAAATTACTCTTGCTCTTCCATTTTATTTCAAGCATTTGGGGTGGGGGTGGGGATAGAGCATCTCCCAATACGGTAAATATTACCAGGACTTTCTTCAGAGGCACCTCTGGGTGGCCTCAACCTCCAATCTTTCACTTAACAGCCTAGTGTATTAACTACATTACCCAACCCCTAAGAGTAAATATAGAAAAGTGCTTACATCGTAATTCTACTTTTCTTCTCTAAAAGTTTCAGCCATAAAAAAAAGACTGAGTTACAATAAATCTTAAGTAAAAGAACCAACACACTACATTTTCAGTTAGACAACCATGTACTAGTTAATCTCTAAGGAACAAGCTGGAAATTTATCTATCACAGTCCAAAGTTCTTCCACTGACTCCAGATCCCTTTTTAAAGACTTCCAATTTGCCACTAAATGCTTAAATAGTAGTACTGTCCTCCTGAAATAATTCTGTCCTCCTCATAAATGAAACCTGAGAAATTCTGAAGGAGAAAATATTTTCATTTAGCTTTGTGAATGAATTGACAATTGTCACTAATTGTGAAAATGAATTAACAAGGAAGTGAAAAAAGAACTAATACATATACCCTCACTCTTCCTATACCTTGAAATATTACAAAACCTTGCCTTTGAATACTTTCCGTGGTAGTAAGGATCCAAAATAAAGCCTCCCCACCGTCCAGAAAACAAGCTAATGGGACCAACAAGTTTCAATGTTCAAAGTTAGACGGGGGGCTCCTTTTAGCACTATTCGGGTCCATGGAGCTTAGCTGTGATGTAAAGACTACTCACAGTACTATGGGGAGGGGTTGCTTACATCACCGAAGTGACATCCCCTTTCCCTATCAGGTGAGCAAAAACCGACCCTCAAGAGCAGTTTTTAAAAAATCTATTCTCTAAAAGAATTGAAAACAAAACAAAAAAAAATTCACACACCCAATTTTGTAATTATCATTTAACAAGGCTACCCCAAAAAATCTGTTATCAAGCTTTATTTAGTTTCTAAAATTTTTCTATTTTTTGCATGAAACCTTAGCCGGAAAACAACTGCGCAAACCAAACAGCCTAAGTTTTGGGGAGTGACCAAAAAGAAACAAACTCAGAGTAAACGCAGTTTTCAAAGGTAAACTTAATTAATCTTAAGAACGAAATATGCAGCGAAATATAGAGCAAGGCAAAATTTAGCCAAGTGTGAGCTGAGGACTCCGGACTCTGGAAACCTGGACTTCTCCCTCACCACCCCGCTGGGCCTGGTCACTTCCTGTCGCGGCCGGCTCCTGTCTCTCGACGGCTGCTCACTCACTCACCATCAGAGTGTACAGAGGGTACACGGAGTAGTAAGAGGAATGAGGAAGGATGGAGTCGTTCTGGCTCCCTCGCGATCGCTGCCCGCACCCGGGAAAAAGGAGCGCATCCTCCGACTGGGCTCAGCGAGGGTATCCTCGGCCCAGTGAAATCCCAAACTTCGCTTTACCCACATCCCCGCCCAGTCTTGTGGGGCTTTCAACAGGATCAAAGAGAAAGCAAGAGCCAGAAGACGTAAGTCTTGCCCGCAAACCTATTCAGGTTGGTTCAGGCGACAGATCTGCTTCGATCGTTCACCCTTCAACACAATTTCCCCCCTTAAAGACTTCTCCTATCCCACTGCCCCTGTCCCACCGTAGCCGGCTGAGGGAAAAACAGGCCCCGAAGCCGTCCTAAACCTGGCCTTTCCTCGACCCCCACTGGGTGCCAATGACCGATCGCGACCCCACACGCACCCATCAAAATGCGCATCTGCTTCTTGCCGAAGAGGCGGGAGAAGAGAGAAGAAATGGTGAGACCCATGGCGGCGGTGGCACTTGCGATGGGCAGGAGCAGACGGGGCTTGAGGCGTCCCCGGGCCTTCTCTTTTCACACTCCCAGCAAACTGAGCGAGAGGAAAGAGAAAGAACTAAGGAAGAAAGAGGGTGGCCGGGACCGCTCGCCAGCCAGCGCGTCGGACGAAGTTTGAGGGCCAGGACAAGAATTAGCGGGGCGAGGACCTACTCGGCTGCTGGCGCGGCAGCTCTAGCTCTGTCCTTATAGCTCTAGTTGTGCCACGTCACGCGGCAGCCGCGGCAACTCCGACAGTGGCCCGACCCCTCCAACGCGGACAGAATCGCGTCACCGCCTCCCCATCCCCCTGCACTTCCGGTGCCGTCCGAGCCATTACGCTTGCGCACGCACGGGATTGGTTGATTACGCTGACGTACAACTCTCGCCGCCGCCACCTTCCGGACGTGGCTCCAGGAATGGGGCGAGGCGAATAGGAGCATGCGTACTTGGAGACAGGCGCAGTCGCACAATACCTCGCTTTGTCACTTCCTATCAGACTCAAGGCAAGGTACTTCCGCCAAGATGACTACATCCTCGGGATTGTAGTCCTTGCTTCCGGAAGGGCGAGCTATGCATTATGGGTTAAGTAGTGAGCCTCCGTTGTTTTCACAATTTGGGTTTTTTTCTCTTTAACGCTAGGCACGTTGGGAGTTACCCAATCCCACCGACAGACACGTCTCAGCCTTGGAACCAGAACCTGCCCTAGTGGAGGGAAAGATCAGCCCTGCCTTCCCGGGTGCTAAGTGGTTAAAAGCCAACGTGGAAATGGTGAAGGCTGTGTCACCCGGTTAAGAAGTTAGGCCTGGACTCTTCGATCCCACTTCAGGTCACACTGAAGATCCCTAATCCTGACAGGAGAGCTCTAAGACCTCCATGTTAGCTATTGCAGCTTTTTAAGAGAAGCCAACTTGCTTTTCTTCTGCTTTTTCTCCTACAAAGTATGAAAGATTCTTCCTTTTGTTGAGGAAATGGAAAATCCCCTCACTTTGAAAAGAAATAACATCTTGGGGGAGGGAGAGTATATTTTAAAAATTCCCTATAGAATACTGCAAACATTAAAAAGAAATTTAAAGATTTTTTTTTTGCATTCCCTTTATCTTTGCAACCTTCCACATAGTTCCTCCAGTTTGTGCAGTTTAGAATTAGTAGCTGCCGCCTCCTCCAACAACCCTTATCCTTACCCTACTCTTCAGCTCTTTCAAAGGTTAACTCTCTTGCAGTTAAAATTACACTCAACTTGACTTCCCTGACTAGATGAACTCTTATCCAAGCCCAAAGCATCATAAGCTCCTTTCATAGTTACATATTTATTGATAACTCCCCCCCACACACACACACACACACTTACCTTAAAGCTCCAGGAAGGCAGGAACTTCATCTGTTTTTATATTCCTTTGTATTCCCGGGATTTGGTACACCTCGTTATTTACACTCAAAAAACATAGTTGAATAATAATGGAAATGGCTGAATAAAGTATGGTACTTCCATACTATGGAATACTATTAGGAGTCAAAAAGAATGACGTGGAATTACATATTCTGAAAAAAGATTTCCAAGATACAGCCAATCAGGCCAAATTCTGACTGTTGTTGTTATGTGCCTTTTAGTCGGACGGACTCACAGCGACATCTCCTTGGGTTTCCAAAGCGTATCACTACAGAAGTAGATTGCCCAACCTTCCTTGGGAGGAGTGGCTGGTGGGTTTGAACCGCCAGCCTTCTGGTTAGCAGTCAAATACCTTAGGCACTATGCTACCAGAGCTCCTTAAATTATGACTACATACTGTAATATAAAAACAGAGATTTCCCTGGTGTGTGGGGGTAAACGCAGAACAAAAATTTGTAGTGTAACTTGCAATAGTGGCAATTAGTGGTTACCTGTTTAAAATGTGTGGAAAGACAGGGAATGGCAATCAAAAGAGAACTTTCATCTGTACTTTTAAAAATCTACTTTATTGAGAGAAAATTTATATACAATAAAATTTACCAATTTTAAGTATGATTTGATAGATTTTTATAGTATACAATTTACCCACCATGATGATCCTGATATAAAACATTTCCATCACCCCAAAAAGTTCTCTCATGTTTGCTCTCCTGACTTTCAACCCTGGCCCACCCCTGATCTGCTGTCACTATAGTTTTGCCTTTTCTAGAATTTCACATAAATGGAATCATACACTATTAAGTCTTTTTTGGTCTGGCTTCTTAGCACAATGATTTTGACATTCACCCATGCCATTGCATATATCAGTGGTTCCTTTTTATTGCTGAGTAGTAGTCTGGATGGATATACAACAATTTGTTTATTCTTTCATCAACTGATGGACATTCGGTTTTTTAAAATTTGGGGCTAGTATGATTTAAGTACAAATGTTTGTGTATCTGTATTATTTTTACAAGATTAATTTATTCATATGTTCAGTATATAACTTAAGAACTAATCTTAGATTTTGATGAATTAACTAGTTTGGCAGATATTCTTCCAGATTTTTCTCTCTGAAATACTAATGTCTATATAAACTTTTTAGGGATTTTATACTGCAAAGCAACTCCATGTTCAATTTAATATATTGTGGACATCTTTGAATATCAGTGCTTATATATTATTCCAGCATGATATCTTCACTAATCATTTCTGCAAAGACCCTGTTTCTTATTTAAGATCAAAGAGATCATAAAGATTTAGAGCATTTTCTTAATAATACTATCCTATGGAATTCTGTAGGAAAAGCTCTGGTAGCGTAGTACCTAAGACACTTGACTGCTAACCAGGAGGCTGGCGCTTCAAACCCACCAGCCACTCCTCAGAAGGAAGGTTAGGCAATTTACTTCCACAGTGATACTGCCTTGAATACCCTGAGTCGGCTCCAACTCAATGGCACAAAACAACAACAACAACATGCAGTTCTGTAGTTGTTTATTCAAAGTGGTGCATTATGTAGGATGGAGTTGAATAAGAAAAGCCTACAAAGTTTCAGAGACTGAGTCATTTCATATTGTTGAAGGCCTACTACATAAAGCTCCTTTTGGTAGAGCTTTTGTTTCTCAGGATGGCCCTCAGAAATGAAGAGCAAAAACTTAGGTTAATCAATGAGGTAGAGCCATTTATTGAGAACAGTGGGTTTACACTGTCCTCTTTCCCAAAAATATTCCAGTAATAACATTCTTAAGCAAGATGAGTTCAAATGTAATTAAATATATATTTGAAGATTATCAGAGAAATGCAAAGGAAAAACAAAATTGGCTTTCCAAACTCACACTTTTAAGCCCTTTAAGCAATCTAGTAGAAGTTTTATTAATTTCTGGAGTGAAGGAAAGTATTATTTAACTTTTTAATGAAGTCGACATAATTACCTGAGAGAGAAACACATTTTCTGAGAATTTAACTTAAATGGAATTAAAGACTCTCCCTTAAGAAATTTTAAAATGTACCTTCCATTACATTGGAGATACATCTAAAGAGCTTCTCTCAGTTGATCACTTAAATTGCATTTTGGAAACTTATTAGACAGAAGACATTCTTATATTCTTTAAGTAGCCTTCATGGCTGTTTAGAATCAGCCATGATTCTACAGGTTTTCTCAAGTTGACTCCCAACATTTCTCAAGGCAAATTAAAACAGGTTCCCTTCCCCATAACTTCCAATCTCAATCCATGTTTTCTGTTTAGTTTAGCTAAGCAAAACATGTTGTTGTTGTTGTTGTTATGTGCCGTCGAGTCGGACCCGACTCATAGCGACCCCTCCTTGGGTTTCCAAGGCAGTATCACTACAGAAGTAGATTGCCCCATCTTCCTTCCAAGGAGTGGCTGGTGGATTTGAACCACCAGCCTTCTGGTTAGCAGTCAAGTGTCTTAGCCACTATGCAAAACATATGGAAAAAATTCTGGTCTCTATGTCTAGGCTCTAAAATCTAAACCAAAAGAACAAATCACGACATCAGAATAGATTTTTCAGATTTTCACTTAAGAATATGCCACACATCAAGTACCCAATGGAGATAAGAAAAAAGGATGTTAATGGTTGATTGGAATGTCTCTATTATACAGATAAGGATAATAAGGATCAGAGAGCCTAAGTAACCTGCCCAAGGTCACACAGTTAATAAGCACTGGAACTGGGATAAGAACCCATTTCTTCTGACATAAATGCCTTTTAACTACATCATACTGCTTGCTTGCTTGCTTGCTTTTTTTAAAAAAAAGTTTTATTGTGATTTGGGTGAAAGTTTACAGAGCAAATTCATCTTCCATACAGCAGTTCACATACTTTGTCTCATGACATTGACTGCAATTTCCCACGATGCAACAGCTGTCTTCCCACTTCCTCCCCATAGTTAACCTCTTCCTTGTCCTTCCCTCCCATGCACTCCTGCCACCTGAGCTGTCTCCCTGTGCATACACTGCTCTTCTATTCTCCCATGATTGATCTCTCCAAGGAGTGTATCTACCTAATGTAAATGTTCAGCTCATATGGAGCTGGAAGCCACAAGAGTGTGTTCAATTCCAGACCTGAAAGGTAACTAGGGGCCATAGTCTCAGGCATTCCATCAGGCTCTCAGACCAGCAAACCTGGTCCCATTTTTTTTTCTTCTTATGATTTTGAGTTTTTTTCCACATTGTTCTCCTATTCTATCCAGGATCTCCTACATAAATCCCCTCCAAGTGGTTGACAGTGGTAGCCAGGCACCATCTAGGTCTTCTGGTCTCATAGTCATATAGCCTGAAGACTGCATGGTATAGCAGTCCCTTGGACTAACTGTTTCCATATGTCTTTGGTTTTCTTCATTCTTTTTACTCTGGACAAAGAGAGACCCATCATTGCATCTAGATGGCCAGTCGCTACTCACCAAAGTAGGCTGTAGAACAATGTTTTTTGTGTAGTATGTTATGCCAGTTGAGCTTGATGTCCCCTGGGACCATGGTCCTGAGCCCTCAAGTCCAAGTACTTGCTCCCTCCGGGTAGCTGGCTACCTAAGAATTGACTACATACATCCTTGTCCTTTGTCAGCTCTACTATATACCTGGACATTCTTACAGAACATACAAATACACTTGTGGATACATTGTCTCCCAACTCTACACATGCTCTTGGGCACGTTCCCCCCTGCATAGACATATCTAATTATTCAGCCTGTCCACCCATCTATCCACCTGTAGGTCGATGTTTGCCATCACTGACAACGCAGTACT